TTTTCTTTTTGCTTATGTGGTGCTGAGGAATCGAACCCAGGGCCTCAGGCAATGCAAGGCAAGCGCTCTACCACTGAGCCACCTTCCCAGCCCAGTGCATAGACTTTGAAAGGATATGAAACCTCCTGCCCCATTCACAGGTAGTGTAAATCCCAAAGTGCAGTTTGCCCACAATTCAACATCTAGCTGGTCTGCACTTGCTGTGTGGGAATGACTAGGCTGGGATAGGATGTACAAATAGGAAAAGGCTTCTCAGACAAACTGGGGTCTGTAGGTTTTATAGAAGACTGTCTTGAGATGCTTTTTAAAATGATTTTACAGATACTGGGCACATATTTCTAGAACTAAAGCTTTGCCTTTGGCCTTTAGGGCATGATCATTACCCCTCTTTAACCATTTGTCATCGAGTCTTCCTCAGGCACTTGCTCCCATCCTGCTTACAGCTGTCTCTTTCAGGACTCTGAATGGTCTGGGCATTCTGGTATGCTCCATGGATGGCTCTGTGGCATTCCTTGACTTCTCTCAGGATGAACTCGGAGACCCCCTGAGTGAGGAAGAAAAGGTAGGCTGGCATCCTGCATGGTGCTGCACACTTTGTGGCTACAGAAATAGCCACAATCTGAGACCCCTGCCATTGCAACACTTTCTTGAGAGATATGCACACATTAGTTAAGTATTATGGGGTGTTTGCTTTTTTAAAGAATGTAATTTTTATCTTCTTTGCAAAATAGATTAATAAAAATAAGTCTATTCATGTCAGAAACAACTTTCAGAATAAGTCTCTATACAAGTCAGAAACAACTTTCAGAATTAAGAATAATTGGTATTTCTTCTTGAAATCATGATAGCTCTCCCCCTTCTCTCCCCCCCCCCCCACCTAGGGAGTCTTTCACTCTAGAAGGAGCTGGAGTCAGTCCCCAGGGCTCCCTCTTCTTGTCACTTTCCCTAGCCCATTGTCTTGTGCTGACATAGAAGCAATTATAACTATAACCTTAGTTATTCTTAATATTTCCTGTTTGTCAGAGTCTGGGTCATGTGCTTTTGCATGTATATTTCATTTAAATCACACCAAATCCTTACAGAGGGACTTACAGGTACTGGAGACTGAACTCAGGACCTTGCACATGTTAAGCAAGTGCTCTACCAACTAAGCTATATTCCTAGCTGCAGTGACTTGTTTTAGCAAGTCTGTTAAAATTGGAGAACCATTGGTGCAGTTAACTGGAAAACGAGTATTAGAAGCAAATGATTCCATGGAGATATGTTTCTTTTACTTTTATTTTTTCTTATTATAAAGATGATGTACAGAAGGGTTTACTCAGTTACATAAGTCAGGTTAAAGCATACATTTCTTTTTGGACAATGTTACCCCTTCCCTCACACTCTCTCCCAGTTTTCCCCTCCCACGCTTACCTACAAGTTACATAATTCATTTTCAACATAGTGTCTAGTGAGTACCATTGTTGCATTTGTTCACCCCTCCTTATTTCATACATTGTATTTGTATGTATTTGTATTGTGCTTTCTTTTTCTGCTCTGTATCTTTTCTCACTCTCCCCCTTCCCATTTAATTTATTTCTGCAGTTCTTTTCACCCTAAATGCCATAACAAAAAACTGAGGCATTTGGGGAAGAGGGATTTTACCTGTTTCATTGGTGAGGTAACTATACCTCAGAAAATAGAATGGCTTTTTGCCAAGACTATATGGGACTGTGATGTACAAGAACAGAAATGAAATCAGGTTGATTGCCTTTGAGCTCGATTCGACCTCCTCTCTTTTGTGTTCTGCTTGCACCAGTGGAGCCTGTGTGCTCTTTTTGGAAGGGTTTGGGAAAGGCTCTGCTTTACTTGTCACGAGAATAGGAAAGTGTGGTTCCTACCCACAGACCCTTAGTGATGTATCATATTTATTTTTTATTTATTTATTTTGTTGGTCATGGTACTTGAACTCTGGGCCTGGGCACTGTCCTTTAGCTCTTCAGCTCAAGGTGAGCACTGTGTCACTTGAGCTACAGCACCACTTCCAGTTTTCTTTCTTTTTTTTTTTGGGTCCGGTTGTGGGGCCTGAACTCTGGGCCTGGGCGCTGTCCCTCAGCTCTTCAGCTCAAGGCTAGCGCTCTACCACTTGAGCCACAGCGCCACTTCCAGCTTTTTTTTTTCTTTTTGCTTATGTGGTGTAAGGAATTGAACCCAGGGCCTCAGGCATGCAAGGCAAGCGCTCTACCACTGAGCCACCTTCCCAGCCCCCACTTCCAGTTTTCTGAGTGGTTTATTGGAGATAAGAGTCTCATAGTCTTTCCTGCCCGGGTTGGCTTTGAACCATGATCCTCAGATCTCAGCCTTCTGAGTAGCTAGGATTACAGGTGTGAGCCACCAGTGCCCAGCTATCATATTTAATTGTCTGAAAGGAGCCCTATGAAAGTACAGCAGGTCAGTAACTCCCCCATTAGTGAAACTCTTGCTTGAAAAAGCTTCCTCTTAACCTACTTTAGGATCCTCTCCAAAAGATATAAACCCCTTGAAGATAAGGGTCTGCCTTGAGCACTGCCCCTAAACTAGAGCCTAGTATTTCTGTCAGTCTTTAATGAAGGGATAAGTGTCTCGATGGCCTTGAGCCACTGTTATCACATACCCAGCTTTGCTTTTTACCCCCTTAAAGGGTAAATGTTGGAGCCTATTAAAAACTCCATCTAGTTTACCATTTTCCAAATCACTGCAAGGTCTAAGAAACACTAGGGGGAAAGCCAGACACCAGTGGCCCATGTCTATAATTCTAGCTACTCAGAAGGCTAAAAGTCTGTGAGACTCTTATCTTCACCAAAAAGCCAGATGGGATGCTGTAGCTCAAGTGGTTGACTACTAGCCTTGAACACAAAGACTCAGGGACAGAGCCCAAACATTGAGTTCAAGCCCCAGGACTTCAAGTCCCAAAAGGGAGGGAGGGAGGAAGGGAGGGGGGAAAGGGGGGAGGAGAGAAGAGAGACATTAGGAAAACCTGTCTTGAGATTCCAGGAGATGAATTTTGGAGGTGAGGGGAAACCAAGATGGCAGAAGAAAGATTCCTGACTAAACCTAGGACCTACAGGAATGAATGTTAACATCCTTCTCCACTCCCCTTCCTGGGAAGCTGCAACCAACCTCACCTTCCCAGGGTCTTGTGGTATAAAGCAGATGCCCATTAACTATAATTCATGTTCTGAGTAGAATCTGAATATCCTGAAGATCATTTTCATAATCATTCCTCCTTTTCTTGGGTTGCTATCTAGCTATGGCACAGGACTAATAGGGCCTAAGAGAATAGGAGAGGACTTGTTTTTAGCAGGTCCACAGGAGAGTAGACAGGGGTCTCCCAAACCTGGTATACCAAGCTTCCCATGAGGCTGAAGTCTACTAACAAAAGCATACTGGTTCTAATGGAGTGTTGAAGGTCCTTGAAGTGGAGCCTTCAATAAGAGCCTTAAGTTAGTAAAAGGGCACCCAGATATCAGTCAAGATGGTATCTCTTGGGGCTGAGGAGGTGGCTCAGTGGTAGAATGCTCGCCTAGCATGCATGAGGCCCTGCGTTCAATTCTTCAGTACCACATACACAGAAAAAGCCAGAAGTGGCACTGTGGTTCAAGGGTAGAGTGCTAGCCTTGAGAGAATAAAAAAAGAAACTCAGGGATAGCGCCTAGGCCCAGAGTTCAAGCCCCAGGACTGGCAAAAAAAAGATGGTATCTCTTGTCATATAGTCTAGACCCAGACCATGTAGTGTTTTCTTACCATTATTTCACTATTATTGCCAGCTATAGATACATAGAAGCTGTAACATATCATGAGAGCTTGAGACTTCAAGAGTTATCGGGACAGAGTTGGGCAGGAAGTGATATAGAGCTGGCCTCCCAAGCCCTTCTGCTCTTAAACAAGTAGACTCCACATTGCACCCACTGGTGGGTATCACTGACCATGGTGGTATTCATCAGCATGTCAAATCAACCTCTCCCTGCTTCTGGCAGAGCCGCATTCATCAGTCCACCTATGGCAAGAGTCTAGCCATCATGACCGAGGCCCAGCTCTCCACAGCTGTCATTGAGAACCCTGCGATGCTCAAGTACCAGAGGAGGCAACAGCAGCAGCAGCAACTGGACCAGAAGACTGCTACAGCCAGGGAGATGGGCTCAGCTTCTTCAGTAGCAGGTGTTGTCAATGGAGAGAGTCTGGAAGATATCAGGAAGGTGAGTGAGGGTTTGTCCCATGGCACTGAGGATGGAGCAAAGGAAATAGGCAGGTGGGCCATAACATAGGCAGTCTGAAGAGAGCACAAAGGATGGGGCCATAGATATGAGTGATGGGGAAGAGAGTATGTGTTGAGCCTGAGATATGACCTGTAGTCAGCCAGGACCAATTGGCCATTGCCTAAAGCTTCATGGGGGTACTAAGGTTTCAAAGCATCTTCATCAGCTGGGCCCTGGTGGCTCACACCTGTAATTCTAGCTACTCAGGAGGCTGAGATGTGAGGTTCACCGTTCAAAGCCATCCTGGACAGGAAAGTCTTATCTCCAATTAGCCACCAGAAGACCTAAAATAGCGTTATGGTTCAAAGTGGTAGAGTACTAATCTTGAGCTGAAGAGCTCAGGGACAGGGCCCAGACCCACAGTTCAAACCTCACCACTGGTGGGGGGGGCGGGGTGTGGGGTGGCAGCGCAGGGGGGCATGCTCTGAGTAGCTGGCTTAGTTAGCCTCAATGTACTATAGAAAGGCTGTAGAAAGAGTTAGAATACATTTCCTTATTAAAGGCTTTGGTTTCCCAAATCTATCATTGTGAGGTATAATTGACATACAAAAAACTACACATATTTAACATTTACTACTTAGCAATGAATCAGACACAGAAGTACAAATGGTACTGGTAACACTTGTATGAGAAATCTAAATTAACCAAACTCACAGAGCAGATTAGTATGGTAGGTACCAGGGGCCCTGGGAAGAGGAAATGGAGGTATTAATCAAAGGGAACAAGTGCCCATTTACTCAGTTCTGTTAACAATCCTGTATCATATACTTAATTGGGTGAGAGCGTAGAGCTTATGCTAAATGTTCTTATCACAAAGAGATTAAGGAGCACCTTTTTTTTTTAATTTTTGGACTAGTTGGCAGAAACGTTTCCATTTATTCATTTATATGACTTTACTTTCCCAGAACCTTTTGAAGAAACAAGTTGAAACACGGACAGCAGATGGTCGGAGAAGAATCACACCTCTCTGCATAGCACAGCTGGACACTGGGTACTCATTCGTTCACCGAACTTTCTGTGATCTTCTCTGGGAGGTCTTCCTCTCTCCTTTAGCCAGTTAGTACTTTCCTAGTTAGGGTCTTCACAGACTTGGGCCAACCTGACTCCTACAATGTGGAAGCACCAGTCTCACGGCCAGCCTCCCAGCAGCCTCAGAGGCCCATCCTCCTCCAAGTTCTGTGCACTTGAGTCCTACGGAAGGAGAGAGGCCTGAGATAACTAGACCAGATTGCTTCCTCAGACTAGTGCCCTTACTGCACTCACCACTGCGAGCCTCCGGAGATCAAGCAGGGAAAGAAGTCACACTGATTTATTTATTTTTGTTTGTAAATATACCTCCTTTTCTGATTTTTGAAAGGTATATATGCACATTGCTGAAATTTTAGAAAATAGTAAAAGCCCCCAGAGTATAAGCATTCTCCATAATCCAGTCTCTGTTAACATTCTGATGTCTATGTTTCAGTCTTTTCTCTACCCTTGACCTTTTGTTCACTTAAATAGTTCTCTGCAGCATTTGCTTGCTGCCTATCCTGGTTCCTGTCCTGTGAATGCGCCAGGACTTACTAAAACTGCTTGTTAATTGCAGACTTGGAGTGTGTGTCCAGTTTTTTTGTTACAAAAATTTTTGTTATTATAAATGAGTCTTTGAGCACATCATGACTGTTTCCTCAGAATAATTTCTAGAAGTGCAGCTGGGCAAAAAGTAAGTAGGGCTCAGAGACACATTTCCCTGTGGGAGCAAAGAGCTGGAGTGTGGATTCCTTCCTCCTTTGCCACTGTCTTCATGTCAGTAGTCATGCTTGCTTTTGATTTTTGTTCTCTAGAAATGGTATATGTTGATTCAGTGGATAGTAAAGACTTGTGAGAAAGCAGCAGTCCCCCATTGTCCCAGGCACCTCACCATACGTTTTATATTTAAAAGGTGAGCAGTCTGTTCAAGGCATCAGGAGGTCCTTCATTGAAACCATGCACAGAAATCCACATTTTCGCTGGTACTCACTTGAACCATACACTCTATTGACAGTATTTTGCTGGTTAATTGGAGATGAAATTTCTCAGATTTGTCTGCCCAGTCTGGCTTTAAACCATGCACAGAATTGCTTTTGTTCTTTTTTTTTTTGGTCGGTTGTGGGGCCTGAACTCTGGGCCTGGATGCTGTCCCTCGGCTCTTCAGCTCAAGGCTAGTGTTCTACCACTTGAACCACAGTGCCACTCCAAGCTTTTTCTGTTTATGTGGTGCTGAGGAACCCAACCCAGGGTCTCATGCATGCGAGGCAAGTACCACCACTGAGCGACCTTCCCAGCCCCTGTTCTAAATTTTTTTATCCTTTGAGTTCCATGTTCAAACAAGTAGCAGCCAATTAGGAAAATATTTGTTAAATCCAGAATGAAGAAACAAATATTCAGAGTGATTTTTTCATCCATCCATGAACTGCTGTTCCAAATCTCCCTTGAAAAGCTACAAGACTTTCATCTATATAGTATGCTGACTCTCCCTTTCAGGTTAGATGTGAAGGCCCAGAGGGCCCAGTGGGTAGATGCCTGGTCAAATGACTCCTTTTTCCTCTAATCCTTTTTTTTTTTTTAATGCAGGTCCTGAGGCTTGAACTCATGGCCTAGACACTGTTCTAAGCTTTTTGTGCTCAAGGGCAGCTTCCTACCACTTGAACCACAGTTCCATTTCTGGCTTTTTTTTTTTTTTTTGTAGTTAATTGGGAATAAGAATTTCAGACTTCCTTGTCCAGGCTGGCATTCCTTAGATGATCTCAGTCTCCTGTGTAATCAGGATTATAAACATGAGTCCTGGTGCCCAGGACCTTTTTCCATTGTGAGCCTACAGTAATAAGGTCATTGCCTAGCTCTTATTATCATTATCTCATGACACTGATTGTGTGAATGTGCTTTGAACACTGCTAGACCTGTGGCAGTAGGGGGTGGTACTTCTGCTGATGGTTCCAAACCTGTTGTTCTGTGGGTCTTGCTAAGCCTTATGTGGTGAGGAGGAAGGAGATAAGAGACTTCATAGCTGGCCTTGAGCCATTTGTTTCTGGCACCAACACTTGATTCCCTTTATGTGGGTGTGGGTGTGGGTGTGTATGGGTAGGTGTGGGTGTGCCCATAGTAGAATTGAAGTCAGCCTCAAATTCTCATTCCACTTTTTCAATCATGGCTGGTACTCTGTCACCTGAGCCACATACTCCACTGCCAGTATTTTGCTGGCTAACTGGAGATGGATCTCTCAGATATGTCTGCCCAGTCTGGCTTTGAACCATGATTGTTAGAAAGGAAGAACAAATATTCAGAGTGATTTTTCAAGAAAAAATAATCACAGATAAAGAATAAATCAAGCCAGGTGCCTGTAATCCTAGCTACTAGAAGGCTGAGATCTGAAGATTGTGGTTCAGAGACAGCCCAGGCAGGAAAGTCCGTGAAACTCATCTCCAATTAACCACCAAAAATCCAGAAGTGGCGCTGTGGCTCAAGTGGTAGAGTGTGTTTGCCTTGAGCTGAAGAGCTCAAGGTCAGCACCGAGGCTCCACAACTGACAAAAATAAATAAATAAAATAAATCAAGACCCAATGACTCACACTCGTAATCCTAGCTAATCAGGAAGCTGAGATCTGAAGATCACGGTTCAAAGCTAGTTGGGACAGAAAAGGCCCAGTGAGACTCTAATCTCCAATTAAACACTCAAAAACCAGAAGTGGAGCTGTGCCTCAAAGTGGTAGAGCACTAACCTTGAGCAAAAAGAGCTCGGGGATAGCCTCCAGGCTCTGAGTTCAAGTTCCAAGACTAACAAAGCAAATCAAGGGTTGGCGGCCTGCTGAGCTGGTGTGAGTGCCAGTCAATAATCCAAAAACATCAAATACTAGGTTTGAGTCCTGTTCACTAAAGAAAAAAAAAAAAAAAGAATAAACCGAAAGGCCAGGGTAAAGCTCAAGTGATGAGTGAGTTCAAACCCCAGTATTACCCCCCAAAAAAAGAATAAAAATACAATAAAAAATCTTTAAAAAAAGAAAAAGAATAAAAACAATGAGAACTTTCTGCTGCACACTGTGCAAATAAATTTAAAAAATGAATTTTTTTTTATAAGACAAGAACTCAATGTAACCTGGGCTGGCCTTTACATTACCATATGGCCCAGGCTAGCCTTGAATTCATAGTCCTTCTGCTTCAACCTCTGTAGTGCTGGTGTTGTAGGTACAAACTACCATGCCTGACTCCAAGGGGATAATTTTTTTTAGAAAATAAAATTGTTAAATGTAAAAAATTGTTACAGAAGAAATACAAGACATTTGTCAAAAAGTTAAGTCTACCCAAGTTAAGCCAGCAAGCCAAGAATTTACAGGGAAATTCTAACAAATTCTTAAGGAATAGATAATTAATACTGTCTTACAAAGAAGACAAGAACAACTTGCAAACTTATTTTATGTTTGTGCTGGTACTGGGACTTGAACTACACTGTCCCTTAGCTTTTTCACTCAAGGTTGGCACTTTACCACTTGAACTACAGCTACACTTTCTGTTTTATTGCTAGTTAACCAGCACAAACTTACAAATTCTTGTTTATAGTGGGACACATGGTATGTCTCGGGTATCCAGGAGGCTAAGGTAGAAAGATAACTTGAGCAAGGCGTTCAAGACTAGCCGCTGCAACATAGTGAAGCTCTGTCTAAAGAGAAAAAAAGCAGTAGCAAAGGTAGAACATATTAATTACAAATCAATTTTATATCTTAGTGTTGGTAGAAATCTAAACAAAACAGTAATAAGTAGAACTTTGCGGCATGTTGAGGTTAGTACTCAAGACCAAGTAAAGTTTATTTCAGGGAATCCAGGAGGTTCAGATTTGTGAGAACTATTAGTTTAAGTCTACATGTCAAAAGAAATAGGAACTGCTGACACAGCCTATAATCCTAGGTACTCAGGAAGCTGAGATCTGAGAATCGTGATTTGAAGCCAGCCTGGGCAGAAAAGTTCATAAGAAGCTTATTTCCAACTAGCCCCCAAAAGCCAGAAGTAGAGATGTGACTGAGGTGGTAGGGTGCAAGCTTTGAGGAAAAAAAGCCAACAGAGAACATGAGGCACCCTGAGTTAAAGCACCAGTACTGATGCAGAAAAGAAACAAGAGTATGGGAGGGGAGGAGAGGAGTAAAAAGAAAAGAGAAAAATGGTATGATCACCTGCAGAGATGCTTCATAAATTTTAACATTATTCTGAGTTAATTAAGTGAAATTAGACCAATGTTTCTTTATTGCAATAAATTGTCTTACTTCAAATAGAATTTAGAAACTAAACTTTTTAGTGTTAGGACTATAATTTAACATAGTTTTAGAAGCCCCAGTCTATCCGTTAGGCAAGAATAAATTGGAAAGAAGAATGTAAAATGTATCATTTAAAGATGAAGAAAGAATTGGGTGCCAATAATACTATAGCTACTCAGGAGGCAGAGATCTGAGGATTGTAGTTCGAAGTCAGCCTGGGCAGAAAAGTCTGTGAGACTCTTAATCTCCAATTAAGTCACAGAAAAACCTGGAAGTGACATGTGTCTCAAGTGGTAGAGTGCTAGCCTTGAATACAGAGAAGCTAAAGGCCCAAGCCCTGAGTTCAAGCTCCAGGACTGGCAAAAAAAAAGGGAGACAGTAGAGCTAGCAGGGTGGTACATAGTTTTTGATCCCAGCATTCAGGAGGTTGAGGTAGGAAGACTGAAAAACACTTTCGTGGACTTTTGTTTTATTTGTTGGCTATTACTGAGGTTTGAACTCAGGGCCTTGAGCTTGCTTGGCTTAGCACTCTACCACTTGAGCTTCCAGTTTGGCTTTTTCTAGTGATTTTGGAGGTGCTGTCTTATGGCATGCCCAGAAGGACTCAGAATTTGAGGGCAGCTGGAACTTCATAATGAGACTTTGTTTCAAATAAAAAAAAAGTAAAGTAACTAGATATGAACAATATGAGATCCTAACCTTTAGAAGACAGAAGAAATGAGCCAGGGGGCTGGGAATGTGGCTTAGTAGTAGAGTGCTTGCCTCGCATGCATGAAGCCCTGGATTCCATTCCTCAGCACTGCATAAACAGAAAAAGCCAGAAATCAGCCAGACACCACTACCTCATACCTATAATCTTAGCTACTTAGAAGGCTGAGCTCTGAAGATGATAGTTGAAAGACAGCCCAGGCAAATAACTCTCACAGAGACTCTTACCTCCAGTTAACTACCTAAAAGCTGGATGTGGAGGAGCGGCTCAAGTGTTAGAACTCCAACCTTAGGTGAAAAAGCTAAGGGCCAGTGCCCACGCTCTGAGTTCAAGCCTCAGTACTTGCACCAAAAAAAAAAAAAGAAGAAGATGAAGAAGAAGAAGAGGAGGAGGAAGAAGAAGAAGTACAAGAAGAATCAATCACGTTTTCAAATGAAATACTTAAGATGTAACAAGAAATATAAACAAAAGGAAAAAATGGAGGCAGTCTCACTCTATATTGCCCAAATTACTCTTATCAAAATATGTGCCATTAGTTAGCATGACTGAAAGAAGTCAGTTCTCCATAAACATATCAATTTAACATGAGCAAATACAACTAACTAAATCTTTCAGAATTTCAGAAGGGTAGGTGTTGGTAGCTCAAGCCTTTAACCCTACCTACTCAGGAGGCTGAGATCTGAGGCTAATGGTTCAAAGCCAACCCAGACAGGAAAGTCTGTGAGATACTTATCTTTAATTAGCCACCAGAAAACTAGAAGTGGAACTGTGGCTCAAAATGATAGAGCATTAGTCTTTTTTGTTTTGTTTTGTTTTGAAAAACCAGTAGCTTTTTTTTCTTTATTGGTTATGCCTTCAAAGTAGAGCACTAGTCTTGAGCAGAAGAGTTCAGAGACAGCACCTAAGCCCTGAGTTCAAGCTCTAGGACTAGGACACCAAATTATATATATATATATATATATATATATATATATATATATATATATATATATATATATATATATATATATATCTATATATATTCCGCAATGTAATCTTGAAGTTATATGGAAAAGTACATAGGAAAAGCTGCAGTATTTCTGAAATAAAGGTTAATCAGGGAAGATTCTCTTCACCAGCAATTAAAACGGTAGGGTACTGACACAAAACTAGAGCAATGGGACACAGAAAAGATTCAAATATTCACGTGAGATTTAAAGGTTGTGTTCTATATTCATGATGAAACATATGCTGATTCAATAGATAAAAACCAGGTCGACCTACCATGCTAGCTAGAAACAGTTAAATCCTAACTTCAGAAATGTGACATCTCAGACATTATTTGTTTAATGTTATTTTTTTGTTGACTAAAATATTTTTGTTTAAAATTTTTGAAAATATATTCTTACAATCTCAAGAGGTAAAAAATATTCAAGGCCAGGGGCTGGGAAGGTGGCTCAGTGGTAGAGTGCTTGCCTTGCATGCCTGAGGCCCTGGGTTCGATTCCTCAGCACCACATAAGCAAAAAGAAAAAAAGCCGGAAGTGGTGCTGTGGCTCAAGTGGTAGAGCGCTAGCCTTGAGCTGAAGAGCTGAGGGACAGCGCCCAGGCCCAGAGTTCAGGCCCCATGACCGGAACCCCCCCCAAAAAAAAAAATTCAAGGCCATTGCCAGTGGCTCATATCTATAATCCTAGCTACTCAGAAGGCTGAGATCTGAGGATGCTTGAAAGCCAGCCTGGCAGACAAAGGCATGAGACTCTTACCTCCAATTAACCAGCAAAAAGCCATAAATAGAGGTGTAGTTCAAGGCGTGGCATGAGCCATGAGAGGAAAAGCTTCAAGAGAGTTTGAAAACTGGAATTCAAGTCCTACCACCAACATTAAAAAAAAAATAGTTTTCTACTCAGGAGGCTAAGATCCAAGATCACAGTTCAAAGCCAGCTCAGACAGTAAAGTTGATGACTCTTCCAGTTAATCACCAAAAAAGCCAGAAATGTTGTCTCTCAAGTGATGGAGCATAGCCTTGAGCAAAAATGCTCCAGCATCCAGGCCTTGAGTTCAAGCCCTAGAAACAACACACACCAAAAAATGACATTTTGGTTCATGCCTACTCAGAAGGCTGAGATCCACTGAGAATGCTTAATGAAAGTAAGGCCTTCAGTACACTGCCTGTTCTTCCCTCTTAAGACCCATAGTTTCTTTTTGAATCCTCTGAAATCAGAGTGCATTGCACTGTTAATGCATCTGACTACTAGAATGAGTGCATTGTTGTTTTTCTTAGTGGTCCATGTAGCACTGCTACATCATAGATTCAGATAGGCTATATGAAGAGTCTTTCCTTTTTTAAATTGTGTGTGTATATGTATTACAGTACTAGAGCTTGAACTTAGGGCCTAGGCACTGGCCATTAGCTTTTTTGGTTTAAGCAAGCACTCTACCCCTTGAGCTACTACTCCACTCCCAGCTTTTGCTAATTGTAGATAATTGTAGGTAAGAGTCTCATGGACTAGCTGTGAACTACAATCCTCAGATCTCAGCCTGTTGAGTAGCTACCATCACCTGGCTTCATTTCCTTTTGGCTTTTCTGTATTCCAGATTATCTACCCTAAGAATATGTTACTTCTAGGTAAAAAATAAATAAAATAGAAGTATAAGTACTTGGTATCTTCTTTTCTCATATCTTATTTACTTATAAAGTACTTGGTATCTTATTTTCCTACTGACTTTTGTTCTCACTTGACAACAGGGACTTCTCCACGGCCTTCTTTAACAGCATCCCACTCTCCGGCTCCCTGGCAGGCTCCATGCTCTCCTCTCCTAGCAGTCAGCAGTTACTGCCACTGGACACCAGTACCCCCTCTTTCGGCGCCTCGAAGCCTTGCACAGAGCCTGTGGTGGCCACTGGTGCCAGGCCTACAGGCGAATCTGTCAGTAAGGACAGGTTAGTGAATGCCAAGGTTTGGTTCCTTCTGGGGAAAGCTCAAATTTGGACATTGATTCTGAGGATGTGAATTTCATTCTGTTTTCCATGATCCCTTCAATTTAAAAGAGAGAGAAAGATAATAAATGTTAAATGTTTGATTTCAGATTAGGGCTTCTTCAGAATGAAAGACCTGTTCAGGAGAGTCTTGACACAGTGCTACTGAGCATTAGGGTATAAAGCTTGGGAATCTGCCAGTGAGATGCCACCTGTCATTGTCCCACTTTTTCTCACATTCACACTGGAAGTAGCCTCAGGTTTCTGGAGCTTTGGCCTCCACTTTACTATGCTATGAGCCTCACCCACCATTCATCTTAGATAGGGCACTGATGTGAACAAGCAGACTCTCTTCACACACTAGAATAAATTTACTTCAAGGCTGTGTTTTCAAAGACCATTCACAGGCTAGAGGGAGGGCATGAATAAGAGGTAGGCATGAGCTGGGCACTGGTGACTCAAGCTAATAATCCTAGTTACTCAGGAGGCTGAGATATAAGGATTGTGGCTCAAAGCCAGCCTGGGCAAGAAAGCCTATGAGACCCTTATGCCCAATTAATCACCAGAAACCAGAAGTAGTGCTATGGCTCAAGTGGTAGAGCGATTGCCTTGAGATGAAGAGCTCAGGGACAGCACCCAGGCCCAGAGTTCAAGCCCCACAACCAACCCCAAAAAAAAGACCGATGTGAAGGTTTGCACCATACCGGCTCTGGATTGCATCCTCAGGCCATTTACTTGATAGGTCCTTGCCTTCAGGAAGGGTGGAAGCTGATGGGAAAGAGGCAACTACAATGTTGCAAGGTATATTCTGGGATCTTTTGGAAGAAAGTGGCAAGCCATGAGAAGGAATTGTTGCATAGATAGATCTTCAGGCTTTTCAGAAAGCATCCCTGGGGCCCACACAAGCTAAGCCAGGGCAGAGAGGTGGGGAATAGGGATGCTGGCAAGAGCAGAACTCAGGTCCTGAAAAGGAATGGGAAAGAGAATGGTCTCAGTTCCTGCTCTAAACCAGGTAGGCTGGGCTTTTTCCAGAATGGAGACAGAGAAGTCTCTGGAGCTTGAGTTTTATACCATGGTTCTAGTAGGCAGTACAGGTAAAACTTAGACTCTTAACACACATAACTACTGCTGTGAGAATGATTCTCCATTGGAAGGACTGGGATCTTGTGTTATCACTGCCTCCTGCTCTCAGTTCTGGGGCAGGGCTGTGCAGGCTCACTGAGCATCGGGGATCACTACTCTTAGGAAACTGGGACCTTAGAGTTGAAAAGGAGACAGTGTAGGTAGACAGGCCAGTCAGGGAGGAAGGGTGTCTGGGAAAAACTGAGAAAGCTGCAGGGGTTGGACTAGAGGTCATGGAGGGGGAGGAAAGTACTGTCTGGGATGACTAGGTATTTGGTGTGGAGTTGAGATGGTAGAAGTATTACCTGAATGAGATCAGCAGACTGATCCCAGTGGTTTGGGGTCTCTCCTTTCTCTATAAAGAAGGCAAAGCCATGGGATAAGCACCTAGAGAAGAATGCTAAGAATTTGTCATTGTCACAGTGAGATGGGAGGGACCACCTAGGAGGGAGGGAGGGAGGAAGAGAAAGAGGGTGAGAATAAAGGCCAGGAATAGGCCATGACTTCCAGGACCCCATATTGGGGATTTTCTTGTCATATCTATCATGAAAGTGACCAAGTCTGGTAGTTGAAGTGACTGGGGTCACTACAACCTGACTACATACTGTGATCTAGCTATATGGTTAGCTACACCCAAAATCTCTCAGAAAAAACATAAAAGAGGAAAATATGAATGCATTTGCTTGTAACCTTTTCAGGTAGCCAGACTTCTAGGATTTTTATATGTGAACATGATTTTAAAAATAGAAATAAATTTCACTTTTAAATTTTTTAAGGTTTTAGAAGTTTAATGTTTGTACCCATTTCAACATGCTCCAAACTATGCAAGTCCTAGACTTCCACATCCTTTAGAGGTTGCGCTGACATGCCTCCCACCTTTATTTCCCAGTATGAATGCTACCTCTACTCCTGCTGCATTGTCACCCTCCGTGTTAACAACCCCATCCAAGATTGAACCCATGAAAGCATTTGACTCCCGGTTTACAGAGCGGTCCAAAGCCACACCAGGTGCTCCTTCCTTGACCAGTGTGACCCCAACATCTGTCGAAAGGTAAAGTGTTGGATCCACAGGGCCCCAAGAATCCAGGGGTACAATACCTCCCCCCATTTTCTACTTTGCAGCCCACCTCCCATAGGGGAGCAAGACTGCAGAGACATGAAGCTCCCAGGAAAAAGGAACTGCTGCTGAAAGATGGGCTGTGGCTGGAAGGAGCTGTCAGGAAGGAGGCCATGGGCAAAAGAACAGTGAGGATAGAGTTGCAAGTGCTAGGCAGTTTGGTATGTGCTAAGAGTGATGTCATCCTTTGAAAAGAGCCCAGAGTTTTCTGAGAAGAGGAGTAGGAAGTAGTTGGAGAGATAGAAGGCTCTGATATTATTGAACCAGGTAAGTCAAAGCCCTCTGCTTAGAAACAGCCAACAGAAGGGAGCTACGATAGAAGGTCTTTATGAGCAGAGCTTTTGAGGTCTTGCAATTTATGTATTTTCTTTTTTGTTCTTGTTGATAATGAATTTGGGTCCTGGGCACTGTCCCTGAGCTTTTTTTTGGTCGGTCGTGGGGCTTGAACGTGGGGCCTGAGTGCTGTCCCTCAGCTCTTCAGCTCAAGGCTAGCACTCTACCACTTGAGCTACAGTATCACTTCCCATTTTCTGGTGTTTTATGGAGATAATAGTTTCACGGACTTTCCTGCCTGGACTGGCTTTGAACCATGATCCTTAGATCTCAGCCTCCTGAGTAGCTAGGATTATCCCTGAGCTTTTTTGCTCAAGGCTAGCACTCTACCACTTTGAGCCACAGCTCCCCTTCTGGTTTTCTAGTGATTAATTAGAGATGAGTCTCATGGACTTTCTTACACAGGCTGGGTTTGAACTGCTGTCCTCAGATCTCAGCTTCCTGAGTAGCTAAGATTACAGGTGTGAGCCAACCCTGCATGCAGCAGCAAGAAACATGAGCTGTAGTTCTTTATTTCTTGGAGTTGCAGTAGAGCATCCTTCTGAGACAGCCGGAACATGTGTAGCCTCCACTGACACTAAGCTTCACCACCTCATGAGAGGGGCCTCTGCAAGCCTGCCCTGTGCCAAGGAGCTTACTGTGCATCCCAGGGAGTTGAGGGCTAGAGGAGCTACATATTGGCTGGGCTACTTTCCTCGCCTTCTTCCCACAAGGGCAGTGGGAGCTGTCTTTGGGAGATATATCCCACTGAGAGGCAACTAGCCTTGACTACCTGGAACAGAAGCATGCTGGCCTGTGTCATGAGGCGCCAAATGCAGGGACATTGGTCAAAGATTCTTGGAGTAGCCACACACCCAGTAGTTGTCCAACAAGATGGGCATCTGTATAAGATACTGTCAAACAGTATTTTGGTGCTAAAACTAGTTCATTTTCTCTTGGGTTTTGCTTATTATCTCGGAAGATCTTGTCTGGGAATGATTGTTCTCCTTGGAGAACAGTCCTTAGAGCCCAGAGTGGAGGCACCGCCCTTCAAGTCTACTCTACCTATGAAGTTGGTGCAGAACCTCATGTTCTACTTGAATGTTTATGTTAATATGAAAAAATTCCATATGATATTTTTGTCTAGCAATTTATGTCTCTAGCAATGAAGGATTTTCCACTATGAAATACTTTGTTTATAGTCCCCAGGAGCTAAAATATATACATGAACAAAAAAAGTGCACACTATGGGTACTGGGCTGGGAGCTACCCAACTATTGACTGAGGACCTCGAGTTTTAATGGCAGCACTAATTCATGGCAATCTTTGGCCTGAGCCATATAGGAATTGAAACTTAAATCACCAGAATAAAGTCAAGCCATTGTACAGATCCCTTGAAAGGTGAACATTGGAACATAAAACTGACAGTTGACCCAGAAATATGGCAGACAAGTTGAATGTCTTAGCTTTGCCTTCAGTTAGGCAAGAGTCCCTTTGAAATTATGACTACAGGCCTGTTCTTTTTTTTTTTTTTTTGATAGTTGTGGGACCTGAACTCTGGGCCTGGTTGCTATCCCTAAGCTTTTCAGCTCAAGGTGAACACTCTACCACTTGAGTCACAGCGCCACTTCCAGATTTTTCTGCTTATGCGGTGCTGAGGAATCGAACCCAGGGCCTCATGCATGCAAGGCAAGCATTCTACCGCTGAGCCACCTTCCTAGCCCAGGCTTGTTCTTTTGTAGCTCTGGGGTCAATTTAATTGAGGTTTTTCTTTTACTTTTCTTTTTTTCTTTTTTTGTACTGGTCCTGGGTCTTGAACTCTGGGCCTAGGCACTCTCCCTGAACTTCTTTGGCTCAAGTCTAGTACTCTACTACTTTAGCTCTAGCACCTCTCCTGGCTTTTTCTGAGTAGTTTATTGGAGATAAGAGTCTCAGCCGGGCGCTGGTGGCTCACGCCTGTAATCCTAGCTACTCAGGAGGCTGAGATCTGAGGATCGTGGTTCAAAGCCAGCCCGGGCAGGAGAGACCGT